GTCCCACTGTGCTGTCCCACTGTCCCCACTGTCCCCATATGTCCCACTGTCCCCACTGTCCCCACCACTCTCCCGACTGTACGACTGTCCCACCACCGTCCTCACCAACGCCTTCACCACTGTCCCCACCACTACCGTCCCCACCACTGTCCCACTGCCCCCACCACTGTCCCTCTGTCCCCTCACCACTGTCCCACCACCACTGTCCCCACCACTGTCCGCACCACTGTCCCACTGTCCCCACACTACTGTCCCCACCACCACCGTCCCCACCACTGTCCCAGTATCCCCACCACTGTCCATCTATCCCGAGGAGCGGGAATCGTTTGCCGGCGGGGGGGGGTTCGAACTGTTAAGGCCCAGTAAAGCGACCGGCGTGCTGACCCCCCCCCCCCTTCGCGAAAGGAGGTGCGTCGCGCATTCGTCGCCCGTGCGCCGCCCGTGCGTCGGCCGCCGAAAAGGCCAGCCGCCCTCTCGAACGTGCACGTCGCCCTCGCAAGGGGGATATTTGGCGAGTGCGCCGCCAGCGCGGCGGACACCCACGGGGCGGATCGCACGCGCGTCGCCCTCTCCGCGGCCGCTGGAAAGGCTGGTCGCCTTCGGGAAAAATAAAGTCGCCCGCGCTGCAGCCCTCTTGGCGAGAAGAAGGCGGCCGCTGGGCTACCTCGGCAGATCAGCAAATCCCCCTAACATTACAAATGCAACGACGCTGCTGAACGCAGCCCGGCGATAAGCCAGCAGGTCCCCGCAGCCGCCGCCACAGCCGCTGCAAACGCCGCCAGCGCCAAAACTACCGCCGCCACGATCACCACAAACGGATGCGACCGCAACCACATCCACCGCGACGATTACGACCAACACCATTTACCGCCATAAACACCACCACGACCACCACGCTTCTCGCGACCACCACAACGACCGACACCAGCACGATCACCGACGTGACCACCACCAGCCCGCCCACCACCAGCGGCGCGACCGCCGTCAACGCGACCAAGGCGACGAACGCGACCACGACCATGATCACCAACATGACCATTACAGAAGCACCCGCCCACTCCGTCCTCCCACCCACCCCACTCCCCTGCCGGGCCGCCCTTGACGCCGCGCCCGCCTCGCGCCAGCGCCCCTCCCCCCTCCTGTTCTCCTCGTCATCTTCCTCTTCCACCGCCAGCGGCGGGGCCGTTCGCGGAAGGCGGGGGCGCCGCTCGCGGCGACGCGCCGCGGCCGTGGAAGGGGGGCCGAAGGAGAAAAGAAAATGAAGAGGGACACGGGGTGGCAAAGGACAAAAAAAAAACAAAGGCGAGAGAGGAGGGGCGAGGGACAGACAGAGGGGGGCCGGTAGAAAGGAGGAGGAGAAGGGGAGGAGAGAGGGAGACGAGGCAGGAGAGAGGACGAAGGAGGAGGAATGACAAAAGAGGAGGGACGACGAGGAAGGAAAAGGGAAATAACAGGGGCAAGCACCGCCCTTCCTGGCGCAATGGAGGGCGCAGCCGCCGCCACTTGTGAACAGCGCAAGCACGGCGGGCCGACGGCCGTTGCGCAGTGCTGCTCGGAGAAATGCCAGGGGCGGGCAAAGTCGCGACTGCGTCGCGCATGCGTCGCGCGTGCGTCGCGCGTGCGTCGCGCGTGCGTCGCGCGTGCGTCGCGCGTGCGTCGCGCGTGCGTCGCGCGTGCGTCGCGCGTGCGTCGCGCGCGTGGCGCGTGCGTCGCGCGTGCGTCGCGCGGGTCGATCGTGCGTTGCGCGCTGGCAGGGGCGCGTCGCGCGCGGGTCGGGGTGCGTCGCGCGCGCGTCGCGCATGCGTCGCGCGTGCGTCGCGCGTGCGTCGCGCGTGCGTCGCGCGTGCGTCGCGCGTGCGTCGCGCGTGCGTCGCGCGCGTGGCGCGTGCGTCGCGCGTGCGTCGCGCGGGTCGATCGTGCGTCGCGCGCTGGCAGGGGTGCGTCGCGCGCGGGTCGGGGTGCGTCGCGCGCGCGTCGCGCGCGCGGCGCGCGTGCGTCGCTCGGCGTCGCTCGGGTCGTTCGCGCGTCGCGCGCAGGTCGCGCGCGAATCGCTCGAAGGGCGCCGTGGGCTCCTGACGGCATGTGAACTGCACGGCCCGCTGGCGAAACAATCAGGGGATGCGCGCGGCAATCGTAGACATGGCGAGACACGCGCGTGAGAACTAGTTAACGCGAGGAGACCAGTAGACGACATGGAGATGCAGCGCGCACGGACTAATCCATTTCAAGCGCAAGCCCCGCCAGATTTTGAACATCGGTCCGTCGCTGCAGCAATTTGGCGACGTCTCGCTCGCCGATGCATTGGGGGGGGGGAAAGAGGATGGAAGTGAGGCGAGGGAAGGACGGGCGGAAATGGGAACGGACGGGCGAGGAGGGGGCGCGCGGGGGCGGCGCAGCGGCGGCGGGAGCGATGGAAGTGGATCGAAGGGAGGCGAAGAGAGCGAGGAGGGCGAGAAGAAATTCCAGGAGGGTGGAAGGACAACGGGGGGTGAGTAGGGAGGCGGAGAGGACGGCAGCCTGACACAAAAGAACTGCGCACAAACTTCGCAAACGTGACAAAACGCGCAGCGCATTGGACGAAGGGAAGAGGAAGGAAGAGGGGGGGGGCAGGAGGATTGGCGCGAAACGACATGGGGGTGCGGGGCGCGATGCGACGGGGCGAAGTGGCGCCGCGTCGCGCGACGTGACGTCACCCCCACCGTGGCGCGACACGCAAAGCCCCCAATCAACGCGAGGCGTCTTCGTCCTCAGCAACGGTTGGCGCCCCCGACAATGAGCAACACCAGATCCTCTTGCGCCGAATTGGGAACAGAACGCGTTGGCGGACCGTCGAACTAGGAGTGCGCCGCGACAGCCAAAATGGCTGTTGGTGCACCGGCGTCGGAAACCTATATATCGCCAGAGAAATTCCGAAGTCGCGCCATATGTCGCCCACGCACTCTGGGAGGCCGGGATTCGGGACAGAGACGCAAACCAGGGCCGGCGCACGGGCGACGCTCGGGCGACGCACTGAACGAAACTTAAAGGGGGGGGGGTGGTCGCTTCACTGGGCCTTAACAGTTCGAACTGGCGGTGACCCCCCCTGGTTTTCGCGGGGGAGGGCTGGGGGTTCGAACCTGTAGCAACCCCCCCTCTTTTCATGATGGACTGGGGAGGGGGGGCTTCGAACCGGCAGTACCCCCCCCTGGTTTTCGAGGGGGGGGGCGGGGGGGACGGGTTGGGAACCCCCAGTGACCCCCACGGTTTTCCGCCAGCGGCGGTAGAACACGCTCTTTCTGGTCTCGTGGTCTCTGGTCGTGTCACGTGGTCTCTGGTCGTGCAATGCAGTTTCAGATGACATATTTTGGTCTTACATGAAGTCATGTGATCAGAGTTCGGATGCCGAACTTCGAACGGTTATTCGCTGTACCTGGGTGCGTGGCTGAAGTGGGGCTCCGCGGTGCGGATTGTTGTTGCTGTTGTTGCTGCTGCTGCTGTTGTTAAATGTCTGTTGTCGTCGTCCAACCCGCGACTCGGCCCACGACCCACTCGCGACCCAACCGCGACCCTACTGCCTCAACAAGATACACTCGCCGTTGGGGGGGTGAAATTCCCGAATAGGCCTGTCTGAAACCACCGCGCCACCGTATCTGCCAGGGCCTTAACTCTGCGGCAAGGGTTTTGTGCAAGAGCACGTCGGAAAGAAACATTAAAAAGATAAAATTAAAAAAACAAAAAAAAAAAAAAAAAAAAAAAAAAAAAAAAGAAAAAAAAAGCGTTTGGACCCCCCTCCACACGGGCAACACACAGCCGCAAAAGCTAACCCGACACCAGCAACATACGCCCCCAAGGCCCAGGCATAAGCCCGATCCGAAACCCGACCGCAGCCAAGTCGCCAAAGCCGCTCAAAACAGCCGTGAGGCCATCAAACAAATCCAGGGGGAAGATGGCCCGCGACAAGATCTGGCAGAGTGCCAGCACAGCCCCGCTACCAGGGTAATTTCTACGCCAACGCGCGTACCCCAGCGCAGCTGAGGCAGCTGTCGGACTCGGGCGCCAACGCACTTCTCAGCGCTGAGGGGTTTGAGCAAAAATGGCTAAGCGGAAGTGGGGGCACGACTGGTGGGAAACAGGCGGGAGCGATGAGGGACGGGAGAGATTGGCCAGGAAGGGAGGGGGGCAGGGGCGAGGGAGAGGGAGGGGGCGGGAGAGCAAGCTCAGATGGACAAGGGAACGACAAGGTCACGAGGGATGATGGCTAAGAGGCCCGTACCTTCCCTCCACCCCTCTTCATTCCCATTTTTCTAATGCACCGTACCTTCCCTCCACCCCTCCTCATTCCCCATACCTTCCCCGCATCTCCCCTCCATCCCTCCTCACCCCTCCCATTTCCTAGTGCCCCGTACCTTCCCCCCCCGCAGCCGCCACATTCCTCATTATCTAGTGCCCCGTACCTTCCCTCCACCCCTCCTCATTCCCCATCCGCCCTCCTCTGAACTCCCACGTGGCCTCGTTGCGACCCGACGGCCCGCCTCCTATTCGATATCATCCTCTGCCCTCTGCCGTGCGCTACACGCACCAACGTCATGATATGCTAAGTTATCCGTTCACCTACGGTCGAACTACGGACGAGTCCCATCTTGCACGAGCGATGCACCAGGCGTCCTGCTGCTGGCCAGTGCATCCAACTACCAGCCATGCACCAACGCGCACCAGCCAGCAATCGATGATGCGATGCTGGCGGTGCCGCCCACCCTGATCGAAATCTTAGCCCCCAGCGTACGTCGCGCCGGGAGCTGTGGTCATGCCTGGGCAGAGGCGGGAGGCATAGTCCACAATACAAGGTATTGTGTCGAACCTCGCGCCGTCGCATCCCCGTTTTCACCAGAGAATGGGGCGGGGGCGAGGGAAGGGGTTTCTCCCCTGCTGGGCGTATCTATGTCTGGAGGCACCCTCGTGCGAGAACGGAGGGGGAAGGAGCTGCGACGGCAGAAAAAAAGTGAAGCGAGCTGTGCTCCCACTCATCCCCTCGACGAGCTCGCGGCTGCGGTGGCCGCCTGCTCCCCATCGTCCGTGTAGTGCTTCAGCAGGCCCTTGATCGGGCAGCGCGAGTCGCCGAGGTCTTTGCTCTTGAGGTACTTCTTCCAGGCGAAGGCCAGGGCGAACCTGAGCGCGTTGTCGTAGCTGCCAGCCTCGAGCCACGTCTTGGACTTGTAGTGCGGGGGGGTGTGGACGTGCCACGCGCCCGTGCCTGTGAGACCCCTCCACAGGCTCGCCCCAGGTGGGGGGAACTTCTTCGCCTCGGAGTGCACGATCCCGTCCTTGGGCGGCTCGATTGGCCCCTTCCACTTCTTCAGCTCCTGCTTGGTGCGGTTCTGATCGGCAGCCTCGGCAGTGCGCACCGCCTTCACCTCCTTGCGGTAGACGTTGAACTTCGCGGTGTATTCCTTCCTGATCTGCTTCTGGGCGTCCTTCTCAGACAGCGTCTCTCTCGTCATCTTCTGCTCTTCCTTCGCCATGCAATCCATCGCCCCCTGGATGTCCACCAAGCCGTCCTCGCCGACGAACTTCACGAAGCAACGCTTCCGCAAGATTTCGCACAGGTCCAGATCTGTCGGCTTCAAGACGTGCGTCACCAGCGCCTGCAAGGTCTCGAAAAGGTCGAGGCCGCCAGGGGGGTCGACGCAAAGGTCTTTGTGGAATGTCTTCAACACTGACAATCCCAGATCCCAAAAGGCGTTCTTGGCAGCCACTCGCAACAGACTGTCAGCAGGCCCAGTTGGTTCGAGCCTCATGCAGTACTTCTCGATGCCACCTGGCAAGCTGCGCCCCCCCTCCGCGACAAACTGCATCAGCGGTGACGTCCAGGACAAAGGCAGGGCATCCCACTCCGATGGATCAAATACGTAAGTCATCTTGAGCGGGGCCGCAGCGTCGAAGTCGATCATGTAGAAGTCGCGCCCAGACCTGTATTTGAAAGGCTTGAGCTTGGCAGTCAATGCGCCGATGCCGCACATGTCACCCATGACGATGCCGTAGTCCGAGTCGGGGGACCCCTTCATTTTGATGGCGACCTTGCCCTGCTTCGCCAAGGCGCAGTACCAGTGCTTCTCTGCGGTGGAGACGTTGACGCCGCTGGCCCTGCAGAACTCCAGCATGTCCATCTCGAAAGTCGGCTTGGAGTCGTTGGCAACGCTCTGGTTGGACCACTTCGGAGACTGGTTGGGGCCAATGATGTTCTGGAGGCCGATCGCCTTCACGTCGTCGGGCGTGTTCTGATACACCTCTTTGGGGATCCTGGGGTTTCTGACGAGCGGCTCGAACTTCCAATTGATGTCCTTGTGGCGGTGAACTTTCGAGACGACATCCTTCACGATCAAGTTCGCGAAATCTCTGTCGATCCCTCGGTCTTGGCCCAAGGCGTGCTGAATGTCCTTGGCTGACCTGCAGAAGCAATCCTCGGCGATCTGGGACAGCAGTGGCCTCGTCCGATTCTCGCTGAGGAACTCCATGTACCTCGAGGTCCTCTGGAACCCCGATTCGATAAGAATGCCGAGATGCTGCCGAACTGGAACGAGGTTGAAAGGCGAGCTCTTCTTCAAGCGAGCCTCGGGGCGGGCGCGTGTTTGCTAACGGGCATTCTCAGGGAGCTCGAGATTTAGGCCGCTTGCGCGGCCAGAGGGCGATGTGATTTCAGGGGCCCTTAGAAATCATATCGACGCTGCGCCCTTGTCCGTGTTTTAAGGCCCTGTTTCACCCCCCCCCTAACGGTCCTTAGGGGGGGGGGGGTGTTTTGGAAACCAGTATTCGGGGCCTTCACGTACCCCCCCCCCTTCGGCCTACTACCTCTGGTCGGCACGGCCCCCCTGAACAAACTGGCGTCGATCCTTCTGGAGGATCGAAGGTTGTGTGGGCCGGAGAATCGGAGGTTAGTGCAATCCGAGGAGATAACTGCAGACAGCTGCCAAACTCACAGCACACGTGAAACAAAAACTGGAAATTGTTTGTCGCAGGGGGAGGGCCCAATGGATGATGGGCTCTCGCTCAACACCATAATCCCCGACAGAGCCCTGAAGCCAACCGTGTCGTCGCCGAGTGCCTTCCAGTTCTCGTAGTCTTGCTTGAAGAGGGCGAAGACCCTGTCCTGGGAAGCGAGGTCACCGAGGGCCGCCACCAAGTGCTTGGGCCAGCCCCTCATCAACTTGAAGAGCCTCTTGAAGCGACAAGCGTTCAGGACGAGGGAGTAAGCGCCGATCAACTCGGCCATGTCGCCCTCGATCTTCAGAAGCGGGTGGGGCGCGGACACTTCGTTCACGTTGACATGGCTGTGATCCACAGCGAAGCCGAGGTAAGCCATCATCCCCTTGCCATCGAACGGTACAGACATGGATTCCACAAAACTTCGAGGAGCTTCCCGTTTACGATTTGGTCCACCTCCCAGTCCGTGACGTTCGTGAGATCCCTGAGGTGCCAGTTGTTGTGGCTATGCCATTGAGCCCACGGCTCGCGGATGGCGAATGTCGCCCTGTCGATGTTCTTGTTCTGCTTGTTGTTGTAGTAGACGATCGCAACCTCCACTTGGTCCTGCGTGGCCATCCTCGCGCGCTTCAGCTCGGCGGCCACCGACTTCATGCTCACGGCCTGGTCGTTGCCCCCGTGCTGGTTCGGTTCGCTGTGCAGCTCCTTCATCTTGACTCCGAGCTTCTTCGTGCTCGGCTGCTCGCGCACCATGGCCGCGTGAGAGAAGCAGACGGCGCGCATCGTGAACTGATCGCGGTCGATGCGAGAAGCATAATGGTCGCCAAGCCACCTGGCGGGGTTGTCCTTCCTGCCAGTCACCTCGCCGAAGCCGACTTCGGCCATGCCATTCCACACCTCCTCCTCGATGCCAATCTCCATAATGCGCGCGGGCTCTCCCATCTCCTCGAGGATGGCGGGCAACGCCTCGCAAAATTTCGGGCACTTGAGAGGGCTGACGAACGTCTTTACCTCCTTCGCGATGTCCTTTAACTCCTTGAACCTCCTGCCCTCGTCGAAGGGGCCATAGATTGCGTTCCTCGCCAACCTCAAAAGCCTCCGAAACGCCCACAGACCGCACATCTTGTCAACCATGTTGAAATCGTTGTCGATGCCGTGTGCCAGATCATCGTCGTCGTCAACATTGAACAAGCCCATCCGAGCTCTGTAAGAACCGCTTCAGGCACTTCATGTCGGGGCCCTGGTCGGAGCACAAGTGATCGCACTTCCAATCGTAGCAGTCCTTCATCTGGTGGTACTGTTCTAATGTGATCTGGACTGCCCCAAGGCCCTCGCCGACGCTCACGAGGCGCATGTTGTGAAGAGCTTTCCCAGCCATGAAGGAGTCCAACCTGCACCTGCGCTTGACCTTTTTTCCACCCGTGGCAACTCACAGGAGTTGCACTTGATGCCCAGAAGCTCCCTGGCCCGCTCGATGTGGGTATTCTCGTACGTCTGTGCCGCCAATGCCGTGCTCTCGCTGTCGTACATCTGCCTGCCACTGTAGATTTGGCTCACCTGAGGGTCTGTCTCGGTCGCACCCCGATCGCTCGGAGCTGCCCTGCAATCGCGACTTCCAGACTGTCGATCGAACCGAACGGACCCAGGAGACCCAAGCGACCCCACCTGGAGAAGGAGCCCGAATAACCAGGATCCGATACCTGAATTTACTAGGATATTCCTGGCATGCGTTTATCCGGAGCCCCCCCCCCCCTGAAACTACCAGGATCAGGATCGCCGATCTACCTGGGAATCCCAGCTTGCCCGCAGAGACTGCGGTGGGCAAATGGCCATTGTATTGTTCGGCTTGAACACAGCGCCGTAGAACTTCTTCTGGTGGTCTGGCGTGGAAGCGCCCATTACGAAACCGAGGTTCATGCTGTCGACCATGGTGCGCTAGCTGACCTTGAGGTACCGCCTGATCACCTGCGCAGCGCCGTGGTTGCCAGATACCGCAACGTCTACGCTGGAGTCGGGCCGAGCGTCAAGATCGTCCGAGAAATCGTACCTGAAGTCGGGGGCCAGCTCGACATCCTTGCCCTTGGCCTTGGCGATCTTCGCGTCGACGAGGTTGCCTAGGCCCCAGACGAGCTGCATTGCGAGCTTGGCGTCCCTGTTGCCAGTGAGGATCTTCTGAATGACGTCAGACGGCTTGAAGTCCTCGCCCTCCTCGTGCTTATCCCAGACGCCAGCATCTTCCCAGCTCACTGGCGCACCGTACACGTTGAAGTAAGACTCGCAACGGCGTTGAAAGACGTTCGTTCAAGCCCTCCAGCCTTGATGAGCACGACCATGGGCCGCACGCCTGCAATGTCGGGGCCGCGCCTCCAAGCGAAGCCGTCGACGTTGACACTGACGCTGCCGTTCTGGATCATCTAAGCGAAACTGTCAAACAAATCGGTAAATGAAGCGCGATCCACGTCGGACTTGAAGCGCGAACTTTGATTCTCCGACCCCCACTGAATCATCGCGCTCATCATGCCGACCACGCTGACCGACGGAAACTTCAGGATGCGCATCGCGAGCTCCTCACTCGACAGTGCCGCTCTCTTGTTCGCGCGCGGGCTGCTCTGGCGAAGGTGGTGACGAAACTGCCACGCGCGCAAGCACCGCTCCCATGCGCCCCGACGGTTCGCGAACCAAGAGCCCCCGCTCACGTTGACATGGAGACAAAGCATGTCGAACACGCTCCAAAGAGAAATCCACACCGACGAATCATACTGAGCATTCTCCCACACAGCGACCATCATGCACCCCAGCGGGGTGTGCGAAAGCGAACTCGTCGACCCTGTGCACGCCTAAGAAGTTCTCGATCCACTCTGGGGAGTCGCTGTCCGTGGACTTGACGAACGTCTGGCCCTGGTCTGACACGAAGGCGTCGTGCTTGAAGAACCCCGTCACCTAGAGACGTTCAGAGAAAAAAAAAGCCACAGAAAAAAGACTGCCTGAGCGTCAGTAGGCCGAAGTGTTCAAAAAAACAGTCGGTGCCACTTCCTCCGTCTCTTACGTAGCGATTTTGGCTGAAGCCATTTTGGCTCAAGGGGGCCAGACGGACCAATTTTGGAACGGCGTTCCGTTTTCTGCCCGCCTGCTCAGGCGGGCAGTAAACGGAACGCCTCCAAACTTTACTTGGGCATGGATTTTGGGCAGGTAGCAGGTGGCAGGTTTTTTTTTGGCATGGATATTTCGTTCCGGAGCAGAATCACCCAGTGCGACTCGTCTGGGCTATCGATGTAGGCGTAGTTGTCCTTCAAATCAATGACCCAATAATCCGTGCCCGCTGGTGGGGCCAGTATCTTCACGGTCTCGTGGGTCAGCTGATTCTTCAAATAGTGATGCTTCTTGCCAGGGTCGATCCAGAGCTCGACGATGCCGTTGTGCGCCACCTGCACGCCGTGTGCATCGCCAGCCGCGCCGACTGCAATGGCGGCCTGGGGCGCTGACTCACCGTCGCCGATGTCACCGTCACCGTCGCCCGCTGCAGCGCCCGCGCCCTGGTCTCCCAGGGGGGCCAGGACGCCCTCGTCGACCTCCATCGCCAGGCGACTGAGCCGAGGTCGCCTCGAGGTCGACGCGCACAGGCTGCGCTAAGAGCCTGCGCTGCTATGACGGAAGAGGGAGTTGGTGGAAGGGCGAGGGCAGAACCGAGCGGAGCTCCGCCGCCCCCAAACTTCCCCCCACCGTCGCTCGCCCCCCACGAGACCCCCTCCGAACCGACAGCGAGAGGGGCTTTTTACATGGGGGATCTATGTTCTCTCCTTGCACGCCGTCCGCCTCGCTGCGAGCGAGGTTGCCAGCTTGCCCGCTGACCTCGACTGCTGACGTGTAAGCGACGAAAGGCGAGACGGTGGGGGGCGAAGTGGGCGACGAGGAGGATCAGCGTCGGCGACGGCAATCGACTGGAGAAGGGCGACGGTTGCGATCGGCGTCGACGTCGACGTCATCGTCGTCGTCCTCGTCGTCGTCGTCGTCGTCGTCGTCGAAGTCGCCGCCGACGCCGATCGCAACCGTCGCTCTTCACAATCGTCGGCAACAGCAGCAAGCAAGAACTCGATCAACGATGCTTCGATGGCTCGATGGGATACGCAATGTGGAAATCTTGTCTGAACGTTGATGGCAACCCCACGCTTTCGCAAGCCATAACGCTGATACCCGAGCGGACATCGGATCGTGCACTGGCCTCGAGGGCACGCAGCATGCAACAAATGAAAACATATGGGTAGGTTTCCGATGGAGTTTCGCTCTCGCATTGCCCTCGAAGCCAGGCCACAAGAGCTCTGTGACAGACACCACATCAGCTCTATCGCCGCTCAAATTCAAAGAAAAGCTGCTGCTCAAAAGAGCGCCCAGTGAGCCTGGGCTTTGAAGTGGTGGTGGGCTGGGGCAAGAGGGAAATGACTCAATCCAGCTCACACGGATGGCCAGTCTGCTCTGGCGCAGTGAAGCTCGTTGGCCGAGCCTCAAGACTAGCAGGCATGGCGTACTCAGGGGGGCCCTTCCCGTGCCTGCGCCTCGAGTCCTTCTGTACCTCCTTGATAGTATCTGAAATCTTCACGTCGGTGGACAAGGTCTTCGCAAACTCCTCGTCGAGATCAGTGCTGACCTTCTGGACGTAGTGCTTCAACTGGCTCGATGGGCTTTCGGCGAACTGATACCACGGCTGGTCAGCCTCGCCACTGAATCGGGTGAAACAAGTGAAGACAGAATCCCCGTCGGTCCCCTGCGCAAACCTGTCGCTCCAGTTGTTCGTGAAATACCATTCTGAGTTGACAGTCATGTTCTTCGGCACCGTCGCACGAGCACCAGAAATATGAATCAAGTCCGAAATCTTGCCGTTCTCGTTTGGCTCGCCGTACCTGTACACCCCGAGAAATTTCCAAGTCAAATCAGCAGGGTTAGGAAATAGAACTCGAAACGACGGCCAGCGAGAACCAAACGCAACGTACAGGACTTCAACGACGCGGGCGGTGAGCTTCTTGTTTTTCATCTCCTCGAAGATTTTGTATGTAGACCTCAATCCAGTAAGACATTCGAGGAGCCTCCTGAAGTTGTCCCTGTGTTCCGTATCGATAATCTTGATTGCGGTGCTGTTGAAATAGCTCGGATCTTTCGCATGGACCACTTCCCACACCCAGTATTTTGGCAACTGGCTGAGTTTCTCCATGTCGGCCCACAGCTCGTCGATGTCGTCGTCGACGGCCTTGCTCGACTTGGACTTCTTGAGGATGGGCCCACGGCACATATCATCACCCTCACGGCGTGAAGTGTCGGCAACAACTTTGCTGGCGATGCCAGCAGCTCCATGCACACGGTGGCAAATACTTGCGGCAGCTTCGATGTGGAGGAATCTTGAGCGCACTGCTTGTCGAATTTCGTTTTCTCTTTGACAACCATGGCCCAGGTAACTTTTGCACCGCCAGGGCTGCTAGCTGACGGGCTGCCGGATGTTGCCGAGCGTTTCTTGGTCGACGCCTGCTTATCTTTGGAGGGCGTGGCGAACTTCGAGAGGACCATGTTGGTGCTCAGGTTCGCCGTGGGGACACGGCGCGAGAACACGCCTGGCGGAAGCAAACTCCCCTGGGCCAAAATGGCTACGGAAACAAGGGATCCCATTCGCAGTTGCGTCGGCGACGCAACTGCGAATGCCAGGGCCGCCTGGTAAACTGGATGGTTCAGGGGGGCATCGTGCTGGCTTTGCAGTCTGAGAAAGGGGTCAGTTGACCCTCCACGCGCATGGGGTCCTCCAGAGAGCCACGAGCCCATGGGTTGCCGATTTCACCTGGTGTAATTGGTTTGTGCTGGCTCACCCCTCTTCTACAAAAAACGAGGCCATAAGAACCTATATCAAATCAAACATCAACCAGGAACATCACGGACTGAACAACGCATATGGGGCCCCAACGCAAGCGCATCAAAACTAAATGGCAACGCGCGCCAGAAGCGTGAAGACCGCCCCTCCGAAAATCTGCCAACATCCACCTCTACAACACTACGGATACGTTCCTAGAGTGCGAATGGTGTTGACGTTGCGTGTCGTGTGTTTGGTGG